GGGCGGCGACAGCTGGATTCCAATCACGCGCAAAGCCCGCAAGGAGGATCCATTGTAGCGGTCGCTCCTCCCCTCTCGGCAAGGGCGGGCGCAGGGGCGGGGGCTCTGCAGGGCCAGGTCGATCCCAGGCCCGGGGCTACTTTCCGTGAGACCTTCAGGAGCTGCCCTGTGCAGGAGAAGGTGGCGGCAGGGGTGCGTGCGTGCGTGTGTGCATGTGTGTGTGTGTGTGTGTGTGTGTGTGTGTGTGTGTGTGTTGGGGGGGTGAGTTACTGGCCAACTCTTTGATTCCTGAAGGATTCTTTCTAGCCCCATGGACTCTCACACTCTAAGGGCACTGGAGGGTTGGGGAAAAAAGGCCTTTGTCCCAAAGCCCTGCGCTGGTGGCCAGCGGGGTCTGGGGGGCTGCCAGGGTCTGAGAAAGTCAGGTAAGAACAATGGGGCCCTCTCCACATCTCTCCCCCCAAAGCAAAATCGATGTTATTTGACGCTCATATGGCGACACAAGCCCTCTGGGAACGGTGATTCCGATCCGGGTCAGCCTGAGACCCAGGGCCTCCTGTAAACGTGAGCGGTCACCACTACACCGGTTACCCCGGCCCTTCGCCTCAGGGCGGCACCGTCCTGCACCGTGTTCTGCTCCCCCGGCTCTCTTTCATGTGTCAGGGAGACCTCGTCCTGTCTGTCCGCCCATTCTTCTGTCAGGTGTTTCACTTCCTACCCAGTGGCACCCTGCTGACAGACGCTGACCTTGTTTCTGGCCCCTCACCGTGGGGACCCTCTGCCGCGAAGATCTGTGATCACATCTCATTTGCAGCCTGTGTGGGAATGTCATAGCGCTTTGAAACGGCTGTCTTTGCCACCAAGGAGATGACATAATCACACAGGTTGACTTTTTGACCCTCTATTAAAGACTAAATACCTCTTTTAAATTGCCTTTTGCACCCCCCCCCACCTCCACCCCAGGGCTCCTGTCAGGCCTCACAGGGCATTTGGCTGAATTAGAAAGAGGCCCCTCCTCCTTGGGGTACAGGCAGGGCAGCTTCATGTCAGAGCGTGGCTTGGATTTCAGCCCCTCTCAGCCTCTTGCTCTGCACCAGGGTTTCTCAGGCTTGGCAGGATTGATGTTGGGATCTTTGTTGTGGCCAGGGGCGGGGGGGCTGTCCTTAGGGATGGTAAAGGTTTTAGTGACTCCTTTGGCTTCTATCCAGGGGATCCAAGTGGCACTCCCCGGAGAGGTCTCCAGATGTTGTAAAATGACTCCAGGGAATGAGGGAGCAACCTTTCCCCAGTGGAAAGCCAGAGTTGTCCGCAGCCGTGCCCCATCCATCAGACCCTGTCCCCGTCCCACCTTCATCTGGCTCTAGGCTGCTCGGGCCATCCGTAGTGCACAGGGCATTGACTCTGGCCCTTCCTCGGTCAGCCCGTGGCTCATCTCACCTGGGCAGCCATGGCAGCCTCTTCCAGCCCTGCCCAACCTGAAGGTGCAGGGAGATACCTTTGTAGTTCAGCCAGGAGAATGGGTGGGTCCCAGCTGGGTCTGGGTTCTCTAGGGCACCTAACCAGGGCCGACCACAGCCCTGAACTTCCTTGTCATCCTGACTCATCAGAACGGAGAGTCAGTGAAAGGGCCGTTCCTTGGTTGCCTTCAGGAGTCTAAACTCCTCTCCCCATCCCCTGGCACCATTCGGCCCCACTGACTAGATTTCTCACCCTGTCTACACTTTTCCCTTTGTGCTGTCTCCGAGATGGTTTATGTCCAATGCCCAGCATCGTGCCTGGCACCTGGCAGGGGCCCAGTTCCGTCTGGCACCACTGCCAAGCCTAGAGTAGCCTTTTCTGCTCTGGGCAGAAGCCTGCTGCCCCTCCCACCTGTCTAGTCCTTCCTTGTCCATCCCAAAGAATGAACATCTGGCCACTCCTCCCTCCCCTGACCACTTGGGACATGCCGCTCAGCCAGCCTCATACTCCTGAGCTGGCTGGTTGAGCGCATAGCGCTGACGTTAGCTGGGTCTCCCTCCAGTTTCTGCCTGTGTCTGCCCAGTCTCCCGAACAGGTCCGTATACTCCTGCCCTTCTGAGGCTCCTCCAGAAGGGCCCTCCCAGGGGCAGCCCCTGGTTGTGAATAGCTGTGCTATTTCTTGCAAACAGCTAGCGGTGTGGGCTTAGATGCTGGCTGTCACTGAGCAGCAGAGTGATCTTGCGTAAGTTACTTTGTCTCTTGGTGCTGCAGTTCCCACGTCTGGAAAATGGAAACCCCGACTACATGCCTCTCATGGTGGTGAAGAGCAACGGCACTGAGGGACGTAAAGAACGTGGCATGTGGGACTCTCCAGAGCCAGGGGAGCTGCAGAAGTGAGGGAAAAGGCAAGGAGAAAAGGGCGTTGGTCTGCAACCCACTCTGGGGCCTTGGCTCCATCCAATGAGCTGAGAGAGAAAGCGCTCTGAGGAAGCATCGGTATCATCGTGGTTGTCCTTCCTCAGCCCACTCTCTCCAGTTTTTTTTTTTGAGAGGTTTTTGCTATAGGGCATGTGCACTCGCCAGAGAGACAGAGACAGAGAGACAGAAAGCAAGAAATTACCCCCCCAGGGGGGATGGCCACACTGCAATCCCTTCTCCTCTATTCTCCTCTCGGGATCTTGGCCACACGTGCACATGCGCCCAGCCTGAGTTTAAGCCACTGGGTCTGCGAGACCAGCAGTTAGCATAATGGCGGTCCCTGGACTCCCATGTAGCTGACCGCGGTTCGAGTCCCGGACCCAGTGGCTTAAAACTCATGCTTGGTGCATGTGCGTGAGTACCCAAGATCCCAAGAGGAGAATGAAGGAGAAAGGATTGTGGCATGGCCATCCCCCCTGGGGGGTGATTTCTCACTTTGTGTCTCTCTGTCTCTTTCTGTCTATCTGGTGAGTACATGCTCCCTATGGAACAAACCTCTCCAAAAAAAAAAAAAAAGCCACCAGGTCTGGGACTCCAACTGCACTTGACTACATGGAAGTCAAGTGACATAGCCATTACGCCAGCTGCTGGTCCCCAGCCCACTCTCTCATGCTCAATCCAGTTCATTAATCAGAAACTATTTTTTGGAGCTCTTTCTGTCAGGGGCTATGTTACTTAAGATGCATAAAGCAAAGAAAGTGTTTGAAGGCATTCTGTAAGGAGGTGGAAGGTCTGTAAGGACTCCCTGAGGAGGTGACGCTCTAGTTGGATCATTAGGACAGCCAGGATCAGAGAGGAGAGGCGAGGAGGATGGTCCAGGGGAAGGAGGGTGCAGGAAAGGAATCTGAAGGAAGAAGTGAAGTTGTGAATGACGAGGAACGAGATCGACTTACTTAGGACACTTCACTTGGGCACTTCCTTGGGCACACCCTTCATTCACTTCCTTATAGAAGTGCAGCAGAGACCCACGGCCAATTCTCGGGACCTCAAGGAGCCACCAAGTCCATGAAGAGCTAGGCCAGTGGGGGGCCTCTGAAATATGTGCACAGTGGCACACGTGGGCACGAGGGCGAATCCTGGGCAGGAGGAGGAGAGGAGACTGGAGGCAGCCGAGGGCTCTGGGTGGGATCCTGGTTGGGGGAGCTCCTTGGAAGGTGGGGAGGAAACGTGTCTTCCCATTCCTCAGCTCCCAGTTGACCCCATGGGAATGAGTTAGAGCTCCGGGAAGTCCCCATGAAACAGTTTCCTGACTGCCTGCCTGTAAGGGAAGCCGTACTCTGTCCATATTGCTGACAGAGCGACCTGCCCAGGGCCTCCGCTTGTTAGGGCTGCAGAACTTCTCAAGGGCAGTGGGTTTGGAGCAGAGAGCCCTGTTACATCCTGCAGCTCTGTCCCTCCCCAGAGGGGCTCCTCTCAAGATACCTGAGTGAGGATCCTCCAGTCTCCTCCCATCCTCTTTTTCAGGTCTCCCACACTAGGAGACTCACTTCTGACTGGGACAGCAGCCTGGTCCTTCTGCCTCATGCTTACAAAGAAAACCTTCTTCATCTGATAGCACTGCCTCAGTGCACCGCACCCCTGCTTTTCTTTTCAAGGGCTCATTTTATTTTGGACACTTATAAAGTCTTCTCTTTTCCCATGTGTAAATATGTCTCTGGAGTTACGCTATGGAGACGGACTCTACTCCAGTCTCTGTGCTGTCACCACACCATCTGTGAGGTTAATAATGTCTGAAAGGATGAGAGTGGCCTGACAAAGCAGCCTTCCCGCACCTGTGTGGGAGTGAAGGGCTTTTCACGAGGCCACCGGGTCTGAGGGTCATCTAGGTCTCCTGAGGACATTTTTCTTTGGTGAGTAAATAAATATTCAAACATGCAAATCAAATTCCACTCTATGAGCTCTGGAATCTTCAACTCACTTTGGAGGGTGGTCTGCAGTTCTCTCTTCTTTTTCCTGTGTAGACAATGGTTCCGTAGAACTGGCTCTGTGGGGGGTTAAGGCAGTTGGGTCCTACAAGGCTAACCACACAGTTCGAGTCCTAGACCCAGCTGCTTTAGAAACATGTCTGGTGCATGTATGTGCATGTTCAAAATCCTGAAAGGAGGGGGAAATGGAGGAGTAGAGATTGTGGTGTGACCATGCCCCTTGCGGGGAGGAGGGTGCTTTCTCCTCTCCTTTCTCCGTCCTCCTCATGTGCCCTTTGGAAAAAAAAAAGAAAGAAAAGAAAAAGAAAAAGGAAAAATAGTTTTGAATAAATTAAAAACATTACTTTGAAGAAAAATATTAAAATCAAAAAAGGAAAAAGAAAATGGTTGTGTAGATGAGGCCAACTCCATGGTACAGTGATTAAGGAAGCCAGATCCCACAGAGCCAACAGGCCAACAGTGGTTTGAATCCCAGCCCTGGTGGCTTGAAAAACACTCTATGCATGTGTGCATACTTGCCCCAAATCCTGACAGCACAAGTAGAGAACAGATTGTGGTGTGACCATGCCCCTTT